TAATGTTACATATTTCGATCGAGTCACCAACAAGTTTAACATAATAGATATATAACATCATAAATAGTTTAAGAAATTTTTTTTTAATGTTGTTTAGTTATTAATAAAACCATAAGTCAAACCTTAAAGAACGTATTATATTGTGATTGGTTGAAGAGTAAGTAGTTTCTATACATTTGTAAAAAAATGTTTCTATCAAACATTATTACTTTATTTTTCTGATAACAAAATCCAAGGATTCTAATTTATACTTTACTAGATCATGACCCGCACGTACGTGCGGGGTTTCATATTTTAAAAAATTTCTAACAAATTTTAATTCAGTATAGATTATTTTGTTGTTTTTAACTTTTTATGATATATATTTTAGTATATTAGATCTGGATCCACATACATGTAGAGATATTTTTATAGAAATCGTTATATAGATTTTAAAAATATAAAATATTTTGTTGTGTTAGTGAACTTCGTAATAGTATAAATATTATAAAGTTAGAGTAATGAACAAAATTCAGTTGCGTTAATGCATAATTATATTTTAAGATCCAGATTAATTTAGTTGCAAAAGTTAAATGGTGTTATATTTTTATTTTCTTAACTAATCTAAACAGTCCTAACAGTTTGATTACATATGTTAAAAAGGATATGAATTTGATTTTAGTTTGGGTTATTTCATGTATATTAGCTAGGCGTAACTATTTTGGAACATAAAAATATACCGTCTGGTATCTGTCATAAATTCTTTGTCCCATAACCTGTCACGTATACGTAAAATAAAAATATTATGGTCTCATATCTGTCATAAATAGAGTATGTGTACCTGAAAACGTATGTGTGTAAACAAATTTATTTTATATAGTGCTCATAACCCGAACTCATGCCAGTTGGGTATTTAGTTTGATTTTTAATATATGTTTCCCTCCCATCTCGTCTCGTAATTTATATTTTCATTTTATTCCATTAAAATCATATTCCAAATTCTTGTTTGCTTACCTTTAAATACCATACAATATTATAATATATATTGTGAATTTTGCGGTTTAATATGTATGCTGTTAAAGTTACAAATATATTTTAACAAATTTATTAATGATTCTAGCTAAATTTTGTATATTTTTCTTTTCATTGTTTAATCATAATTAATTTAATTTTTGGGACTAAAATTAAAACTTGAGATACATCTATAAAAATGATATGTTATTGCTGCATAATTTGTTTTGAATGCAAAATATATAATTAGTTCACATTATTTCGAAAACTGTGTGCAATATATTATGGATTTGTTCAAGGAAGATCCGGTTGAGAAGAAAAAAAAAACACAAAATATTTCGAAATTAATATGTACAATCTTTTGTTTAGATATTTCCGAAACCTTCTCTAAACGAATGTCATAATGATAATTACTTTAAATTTATCATTTTTGAATTTATTTCATAGTAAATATAAATATTTGTTAATATCTAATATCGTTTTTTAGAAATTTTGAAATAAAATTTTGTTTTATATTTCAAAATTTGTGAAAATATTATAACAAAACTGAGTCTTAAATATTTGTATTTAATATTTTTACGAAATTTCAAATTCAATCTTAAAATCCTCTATTGATAAAACTTTTTAAACGATAGTGTTTTTAATTTTGAATTATAATGTTATTATTTTTCTTTTTATTTTTGATATGGAATAGTTTATTAGGATTGGTTTAGATAAAATTTTAGTTAGATATTAAATCTTAGTTTTTTAATTCTCATTGGTTAACAACTTTTTAGAAGAAAAAATTAAATTTTCGTCCATAATTAATATGAGAGAGAAAGTGAGTTTAATTTTTTGGAAACTAATAATTATTTTAAAGAATTTTACTATTTTTTATTTAAATATATTATTTTGTGATTATTATTGTATCTTTAATGAATTTATTTAAAAACAAAAACTAATGGCATTTTTGTAATACTTTACACTTTATAAGGTTATTTATGTTTGAGTGCTTCCCAATTAATAGTATAGATTTCCGAAGAAATTTGTTAATGCATGCTCAATTGTCTCTAAGATTATAAATTTGTTCTTAATTGACAAGTGTACGTTATTACGCCTTGTGTGTCCATAAACAAAATCTAATTGAAAATAATATTAGCCCCGTCAATTATAAAAATAATAAAAAGTCAATATCTGAATTTTTCAACAACCTAATTATTTTCTAGCAATATTAGGAATTAGCCGACTTTTACAAATTTTTAATATTTCCTTATTTAGCAACAGATTATATAGAGACGAGTGATTATCGATGCAATTATGTTTGTTATAGCCTTATAGGTATGATGACAAAAAAAAAAAGCCTTATAGGTATGTTGGTAAGTGGTAACACCCAATTAGTTAACAAAATTAAAAACTTTGAGCCGTTGTTGTTCCAAAAAAAAATTGAAGTGTTTTTTTTTTGTGCTTTATAATAACACCTAATTATTATTCTATTTTGTGTTAATTTTTTGATTAAACTTTCCATATTCCTTGATACTATTTTCATTCTTCCATACATAAAAGACCTACATATATATATATATATATATATATATATATATATATATATATATACTTTGATTTTCGGAAAACGTAAGTTAATGATGAGAAGGAGTAGTAGATGAGTAACATATGGATAACAAAACATCCAATAAATCATTATTCTGAATTTGTAATTTCTTTCTAACATGTTGATGTTGGTAAATTATAAGATTGAAATATATACAAAAAAATATATGTGAAACACAATTCAACATATCCATTTCCGCTTTTCACATTTTCAAGCATTCAACAACAAATTAACCGGCTCACATGGTCTACTCTGCTTTATAGTAATTACAATTAGGTCATTATTTTTCTTTATAATTCTGATTTATTTCATTTGGCATTTAGCGACAACAATTATTGATAGGTCCCTCGTGTGATTCCAACGTGTCACAAGGTATGAAAAAAAATCTAACGGTCAGGGATTTTTTGGTACTTCGCGTCGTCGCAGATATCTTCAATGTGTTAAATAGAATCACATGTGATTTTGTTTCTCTATGCGTCATTTAACGAATCAGGACAGTCCTTTCTCTATCTTTTTTTCTTTTGTTTTGGCAAGGACAACCCCTTTTCCATTTAAATTAAAGATTACACATTTAGATAAACTATTCAAGATATTTTAACTATCCTTCCTTAACACATTCATCCTTAAGATTTTTCTTTTTCTTTTCAGTAGTGGCCAGTGGGATGGGTCTTCAATTCCAAATAATTGGAGGAACAAGAAAGATAATCTAGACCACAACATAAACTATACAATAAAATGATAAAATGTGTTATAGTCAATGAATAAAGAATAAGAGAGAGAGGGTGTGATGTTTACACGTTTGGGGCCTAAACCAAAAAGGACGGGTCCAATATGCCAACTACTATTTGTTTCTTGACGAGAGTAGTAAGAGAGAGAAACCTTAATGGAGACAGAGGGACAGTGGGGTTATGTCAATTGTCATATTATTCAACCACTCACCAATCACTCACTCCAAATCTATATCTCTCTTTATTCAAATAATTATGATAGATTTGATGATAAGTTGGTTCTCAAATCCCAGCCGTTCAATTTATCCAGATATGATATGCAAGAGAAATTTAGATTTTAAGGAATCTGGCCTTTCCTTATTTAGTAAGACTAAATATATCTGTTCATTGTAGTTCCAATAGGTAAAATTAAAGTAACCTTTTTTCTTACATTATGTATAACTTGCACTGCACAATAATGCAATAACCTTAATCATTTGTAATTCACCATGATAAATATTTTGAAGTCATCTACACTTCAAACTATACACAAGCGAAAAAGTTGGAATGTTACCTACAGCTCTAATTTCTTTCGATGGTTGTATCAGTATGTTATCGTTAAAATACATGATATATGCAAAATTCATTAATTGATGGGATTAATTTCTTTGTTAGTTAATTAACCTTGTGTTTATAGTTTCAATTTTATAGCTAAACAACACATTCTATTTATTGATTGCAACTCGGGCCCAAAACAGTTACTAAACTTTTTTTTGTTGAAAAGTCATATATTAAGCTAAGATTGTGACTGAAAATATAAACAAAACTCATATTATTGGCTTAAAAAACGAATTAGGATGCCAGTATTTGTAGGAACATATATGAAACACAAGCTTTTAAAGTGTTTTAAAACCTCTTCTAGCTTCAAAACCAGTTTCTCATTCATCCCGACTAATTTTTTTCCATCACAGAGTAAATTCAAGATAGAATTTTAAATTGAACCTAAGTATTGTTGGTTCAATCGGTTAGAAAAGTGTTTGTTTAAGTGTTTTTGGATCCGAATTCGAGACCTAGGATTAGAACTATACTAAGAAAAATTGGGGGGGGGGGAATATGATTTACATTTGTAGGTCAATATATCACAAATCTTAGTATCTAAGATCAACATCCGGCCGAAAAATTATGGACTAAATGTTCTGAATTTTCTAGTTTATAGAGATATATATATATATATATATGCTAAGTATGGAGGGAGAATAGAGAAGCGATTGCTAAGATTAATAAATATGGGGCTTGTTGGTAGAGTAGATCTATAAAAGGGTGATAGAGAGAAAAGAGTGGAAACGCATGAAGCACGTTATAAAATTAAATAATTGAAGATTCAACCATATTCTTTGATAATTGATGGGTATTTTATTTTATTTTTTGTTGTCAAATCTAAGAAAAATAATAAATTTTTGTTTTAACGTTTTCGGTTTAATGTTTGACGCATATATGTGGGAACAGTTTTGTGCGACGTGGTAGCTTCCCCTCCTCGTTTCCCCGAAAGCCAAAGCTAAATTAAAGCTGATTCTTGAGAGACCAAACCAACAGAGAGAAAGAAAGTTAGAGTTGATCCCTCAAGTTGTTTCTATCGAAATGACGAGAATGCCCTTTTCAAATAAACATGTGCTCTTTCTTTTTCTTTTAGCTATAGGGTAGTGAGACTTGCGAGTATGTAACACACAGCAAAATGGAAAACATCAAGCTACATACCGATTGGACTAAAATAGTAAGAAAAAACAGATTTAGGTGAATAAAAAAGAGAATAAAAGGTTTGCCCAAAAAAAAAAAAGGAGAATGGAATTTGGTGATGCTTTGGTTTTATCCAGGATAAAATTTGATTTTTTCAACAAAATATTACTATGTGCTATTTTTCCTTTTTTTGGCACTATTTGTGTCAAGAAACAACTGAATAAATCGGATTTATATCGTATTCTTTAGATCAAACTCTCTAGATAAGCTTCTTGCTTACAAGAAGAACTCGACTACACTTTAAGTTGCAAAATCACAGCAATACACGGTTACAAGAAGAAAGAAAAGTAGTTCCAAGAACTCTCTCCACTTTAACTCTTTAAGTAACAAGATCACAAGCAATACATAGTATTTAATAACACACAAGAGTTGAGCTTGCACTTTTCCTTCTTTCTTGGGCCTTGTTCTATTCCGATTCATCCCATTGACAAACCCAAAGCGTTGGATACTCAAATGCTCATTCAGAAAACAAGTCCATATACTCATTAGCTTTGTCTTTCCCATTTTACTTGTATGTACCTAATTTATTTGGTATTTTTTAATCAGTTTAGTAAATATATCAATACTAGTGTTAAGACCCGTGCCTTGCACGGGATTAGTTTATTTTGTTTGTTAATAATTAGTTGATATTATAAATATAAATGATTTATAAATAAAAATAAAATTAAAATATTAACATATGATATTAGTATATCTATATATACAAAGATTGATTAAAAATAATAATTTACGATGAAATAAATATGAGAAATTGATCGGTTAGTAAAAAATAAAAATAAACGTAAGAGTATTTTGTTTTTAGGTAAAATTTAAGTTGCGGATGATTTTTCTAATAAAATATCCATGTTCAGTAAAGCTAAGTTGAATAGTCTGTGATAAATTAAACGTCTCTTACAAAAACGGCAGTTGAGTACTTATATAGTTAGACCCAAAAAAAAAAAAAACAAATAGAAAAGCCAATCAAATGCTCATAAATTCGATTGATCGAAAGGGAATTGGCCATGATCAAGTTGTGGACCGTGCATGAGTAGAAATAGTTTCCATATTATATATAGTGGCATGAAATCAAGAAAAAATGTTAAAGACATGTGGAGAATTAAAATGTTCGTGTTTATTAGTGAAACTAACCTCTCCTAGAATCCAACTCAGGCTCTTCGTGACCTGATGCATTGTACTTGATAATAGACTGGTGCAATAAATGTGAAGATGTTTAAGCCATAGTTGAGCAGATTGGCCATGGCTTCGTTCCTAACAAAAGATAACATTAAAATACAATAAGGAATTGGAATTACACTTGCAAGTGTACAGTTGTTGACGAAAATCAAAAAGGAAAAAAAAAAGAGATTGGAAAATCTGTTAGTCAAGTGATTGAAAAAAGAAAATGAAAGCTATAAGATTTGCGGACGGTCAAAGAAACCTAGAATTGGTAGAAAATATGATTATGATTGTTTATACCCAGATGTTCAATCTCCATTAAAATTTTGAAAAAGACGACTGCCCGTTACTCTTGTGTTCGATAAAGTCCTTTAATGTGATCCTTTAATAATTTTGTTATAGATCTGTTTGTGTAGAAGTAGAACATACAAAAAAAAGAAAGATACAGTAAGAAAACTTAGTAAAAAACAGAATTTAAGAAGAGAATAAAAGATCAAACCGTGTGAAATTACAGCCATTGAATCAATAGAAAAACTTGTCTCTGTTAAGGCGAATTAGATGACAAAATAGATTTTTACATGAACTTTTATCTTGTGGTAAGAGATGGACGAACGGTTGCAGTGGAAAGGATCGTGGGAAAGATTTTTGCTTTAATTATTTTTTATAATATTGGAAATTCCGTAGAAATAGAAGAAGTTAAAAAGTTTTTTCCTTTAAATGAATTAAAATAGAAAAAGGCAATTCGATTAAAGAAAATAGAGTGAATATTTGAGAGATATGTCAGCAAAGTACATGTGGCAGATGGAGAAGATTGCAGTTTTTTGTGAATCAACTTGTGATTTAATTTTTTATAATAATATTGGAAATTCCGTAGAAATAGAAGAAGTTAAAAATTTTTTTCCTTTAAATGAATTAAAATAGAAAAAGGCAATTCGGTTAAAGAAAATAGAGTGAATATTTGAGAGACATGTCAGCAAAGTACATGTGGCAGATGGAGAAGATTGCAGTTTTTTGAGAATCAACTTGTGATTTATTATATAAAGATTTTATAAATTAGATGGTCAACTAAATCAACACTAAAGTTACCAAAGTTTCATACAGCTTCAAGGACAAGCAAGGTTAGGTCTTTCCATCCAACATTATAATCTAAGAACGAGTGATTACCATTCTCTGGCCCAACTTGCGAGCGGACATCTAATGCTTATTTTGTTCATTCGGTTTCTAAGGTTCTATATCATAATAATGGTCAGTAATTCTCACTGGAAAATGCTCAAACAACTAGTATGATTCTTTCTCCTCTTTAGCAACATTAGACCTCCTCATCCACCCAAAAGAAGCAGCAAGTCCTCTCTACCATAACCTCGTGTGATTCCAAAAAAAAAGCAGTTCAAACACATTCTTTAATCATATGCTTGGCAATATTGGAGTTGGACCGAACTTCTTAATATGTTTTTATCCATGAATGCAAATGTGTTGTGATCTCAAAATGTGAACTTGGCATCCCAATTTCGTTTTTTCACAATAATTGGGGGGCAAAATCGCAAAATTAAAAATTTCGGACGAGAGTGGAAACTATCGATCTCTTAGGGGAAAATTTGAAAAGTGTGTGTGTGTATTTTTTTTTCTTTTCAATTTTACTGTTTTTGTTTTATTATCTTTCAACGTCTTTCTCTCCCGACGGCCACCATCTTTCAGATTCTCCACGGCCAGAAACCCTATTTTGTTCTTACTTTGATTTGATTCGGTGTTGGGAACAATGGACGATTATACAAGAGAGATGATGGATCTCAAGACTTTGGTCACTCGAACCCTAGAGAAGAAAGGTGTTCTCGCTAAGATCCGGGTAAAGTCCTCTACTTGTCTACCATACATTTTTCAGATGCTTCGAATTTCTCAGAGATTTTTGTGTAAAAATGAGAACAGAGAAGTGATTCGCTTGAAATACATAAATTACTCTCTTTTTCTAGGGTTCCTGCTTTCAGATCGATTTTTTTAATTGAAGAGTTTGTGTTGCTGATAGTTTAGTTGCTTATGCAGGCTGAGCTCCGTGCAAGTGTGTTTGAGGCAATCGAAGAAGAGGATAGAGTGATAGATAACAATGAAGGACTTCCTCCAGCTTTGTTGGGAAGCTGCAATGAGCGTGCAAGGAAGCTTCATGCTTCTCCTTCAGGTTTTATCACAAGTTTTGCCTTTATCTCTTTATTTCCTTTCCCCTATGAATGGTTTGCAATTTTTTGTTTGATTTGTGATCCTACCATGCTTTTTCTCAATAGTCTACTGTTGGCTTGTTCTAAATGTGTGTGCCCTTTTTCTGTTGGACGGAATCGCATCAAGAACGAAACTTTGCAATATGAACATTGTGGTTTTGTGCAGTTGAGTAGGTCATCTTGATCACTTTATAAGATGTTAAAATGCAGGCAGGTTGCTATCTGCATTGATTTGTGAATATTTGGACTGGGCGCAACTAAATCACACGCTCAAAGTTTATCAACCGGAAAGCAATTTGGTAATCAATATAGTTCCTTTTCTTTAATTTTTTTTTGCTATATTTCATTAAGAAGATTGTAGATGAACTTTTCTCACTAATCTGGTGATCTCCTGCAAAACCTATGCAAAGCCAAAAGATTCGTGGAAGTCTGAGTTACGCGACTTTAATAGCAACAATGGTTTTGAGCTCAACAGAAATGGAGATAGTGGACCGCTTCTTCTCGATGTTCTTGAAGGATTCTTGAAGTTCGAGGTATTTCTTTCTGTTTTTTCCCCTGTGGAGATGTCTGCAGCGAAGCGGATAACTGAACTTTACTATATATATCTTCTTCTCTTCTTCTCTCAGTTTACAAGCTTTACTACCATACTTCAAACAAACTACAATAGTCCACCTGTAGTATGTGTGATTTCTGGGTTGTATTGTTTTCAGTTCCTGTTCTGTAAGTGAATATGACCAATACTTGTTGGTTACACTCAAGCTGTACAGAACAGGAACTGAAAACACTACAACCCCTAGATCTTGGTACTTTTTACTCGCTACCTCAAGCTTTGCAAACACCAACTTAAATAAAATCTTGGTACTTTGTACTTGCTTCCTCATAGTTTTCCAAGAAAATAAAGTGTCTTAGTCAGGATTGAATTCTTCTGAGATTTGAGAAACAAGTTTAGCAAATTTCTAAGCCTCAAATTCTCTTCACATCTAAGAACCATGTTTCCATCCTTTCATAGTTAAACCATTATCATCTGTCTTTTGCTGTCTTCTCTTCAGAAGTGATCAACATTTTTTTAACTGAATTTTTTTCTTCAGAGCATGACGCAGGGCATGGGTGGTAGTTCAAGGAGAGATTCAGAAACAGAGTCGTCATCAAGCCTTGAGTCCAGAAATCCTCCTCGCAGATCATCTGCTTCTGATAGCTTACCTCCTCAACGGAGGTACACATATCTTCAACTCCTTGTTATGCCAAATCAAAAATCTTTACTCTTCCATGTTGCTCATGAGTCTGACATGATTGATTTACCTACCTTTAAATAAATGGGCAGGCCGGTTTCTGCATCTCAAGCATCGGGTGAGTCATCATTTCCCTAATTTCTTAAAGTATTGGATGAAATATGTATGCTTCATGGTTTTTGATTTCCAAATAATTATAACAAGATGTTTTAGATAGAAGAGCCGGGTTGTCTACATCTGGTTACAGAAAAGATGAGTTCAATTGGAGACAAGGTAATCAAGATGCAAATGAAGAGGTAACGAGAGCTTCGGCGGCGCTGGAAAATCTTCAGCTTGATAGGAAAACTCGGAACTTAACATCGTCTTGGAGGTAAGCATTCAAGGAAGGCTCTTATCATGGATTGAAAAGAAAACATAGGAAAACAAAGCAAGTTGTGGTAAATTTGATCCATGGGGCTTGTTGCTTGTGTTGTAGGAATGTGAGGGATGGAACAAATGAAGAAGAAGGGAGGGATTGATTTAGGCCTTGGGATAAAAAAAAATGCAGCATCTGGATTAGTAGTAATGGTTTGTGTACGTGATATATGTATGTTTCTCCTTTATTTGCAACTGCGTTTCCAATTAGCCTTTTTTTTTTTTTAACGCACGAATCTCTGTCTCTCCTTGCGAACAAAAAATATTAAACAGCTAATGTTTTCTTCTGAGATTTGTTGTGGGAAGAGAAGAGTTCACAAAGAAAGCACAATGTGGTTGCTTGTGTTAACAGTTGTATATTCACTTCCTTCTTGTTTGAGTTTCTCATTAGAGTCCAAAATTCTGTCTCTAGTGAGCTCCATTTACTTCTCTCCGTTGTAAAAAAAGTAGCACTTCAATGTCACTACTAGTCTCATTCTCTGTGCAAGACTAGACACATACAATATCTTTAAGTTAATGTTGTCAATCTTCAATAGGATTAAAACAGATTTTGTTATCCAATAACTTTTGTTTGGTTTCATATTTATCTTTTAAAAGCAATTATTTTAGATAGAAAGTATAATTATTTGAATTTTGTTGTTGTGTACTCGTATTTTTTTTGTTTTTATTTCGATATTTCAACTTCTTCTCTCTCGTTTAAACTTTAAACCAAAGTATCGAAAGAAGCCACTCTGGCTGACGCAAACGCTTCTCTCCGACCGGCATTGTCGAATCCTCCGGCGACCAATAATCCGATTGCATTATCAGGAGATCTGTAATTTTGATCTGATCCTTCACTTGGCGGTGAGAACAATGGACGATTATACAAGAGAGATGATGGATCTCAAGACCTTAGTCACTCGAACCCTAGAGAAGAAAGGTGTTCTCGCTAAGATCCGGGTAACCGCGAGTTCTGTGCCATACATTATTGCGTCGATTCAAATTTCGCAGAGAAAAAGAAAAACATTCATTTCTTCTTTAGGCTTCCAGATCTACTTATGCATTTGAATTCCCAGTTTTTGTCCTACTTAGAAATTGAGTCTGTGGAAAAAGTTGTCATTTTGATTTCTCAGCTGAATTGGATTCTTTAACATTTGGTTTGGAGATTGAAGAGTTGGTTTTTCTTTTCCTGCTGATACTTTAGTTGTTTCTGTAGGCTGAGCTCCGTGCGAGTGTGTTTGAGGCAATCGAAGAAGAGGATAGAGTGATAGAGAACAACGAAGGACTCCCTCCAGCTTTATTGGGAAGCTGTAATGAGCGTGCAAGGCAGCTTCATGCTTCTCCTTCAGGTCTTTCTCAACTTTTGCCTATATCTCTCTCTTCACTTTTATCCTTCACATCTTTTCTCTTTGAATGCTTTGGTTCTAAATGACATGTCTGGGTTTGGAAATGCTTTCTTGATACTTAGATATATTCGCTTGTTCGAAATGTGTCTACTTTGTTTTTCCGGGTGAAACTTTGCTTGATTCTATGCTTAGGCAATTTGAACATTGTGGTTTTGTGCAGTTGAGTAGGTCATCTTGATCACTTTATAAAATGTTAAAATGCAGGCAGGTTGCTATCTGCATTGATTTGTGAATATTTGGACTGGGCGCAACTCAATCACACGCTCAAAGTTTATCAACCAGAATGCAATTTGGTAATCAATATATTTCATTTTCTTTGATTTTCTAATATTTCTTAAAAGTAGGTTGAAGACCATCATGCTTCTTGATGTCTCCACTTGACACCTTTCATGTTAATCTTATTATCTGTTTAAGATGAACTTTCTAACTCATGTTGTTATCTGCATTCTGCCTGAAAACTATGCCAAGGCAAAAGATTCTTGGAAGTCTGAGGTACGTGACTTTAGTATCAACAATGGTTATGAGCTCAACAGAAATGGAGATAATAGACCGCTTCTTCTAGATGTTCTTGAAGGATTCTTGAAGTTCGAGGTATTTCTTCTGTTTTCCCTCTGAAGATGTTTACACATATAGCTTTTTTTTTTCTGTTTACAAGCTTTAAAACCATACTTCTTACAAATTACAATAGTCCAGCTATGGTACATGATTTCAGGGCGTTAGTGCTTTCAGTTCCTCTATTGGCCAAGTGAAGATGACAATACCTGTTGGTTCAATTTAAGCTTTACAATTACCAAACTAGATAAAATCTTGTTATATTGTACTCACGACCTCACACTTTTTCCAAGTAAATTAAAGTGTCTTGCTCGAGATTTGAAATTTTCAGAGATATGAAAATTCCAAGCCTAAAGTTTTTGTTACATCCAAGGATTATGTTTCCATCCTCTTATAGTAAAACCATTATAATTTGTTTGCCGTTTTCTCCTCATATTTAGTGATCAGCATTTTTCTTAAATGAATTTTTCTTCAGGACATGACGCAGGTCATGGGTGGTAGTTCATGGAGAGAGTCAGAAACGGAGTCGTCATCAAGCCTTGACACCAGAAATCCTCCTCGCAGATCATCTGCTTCTGATAGCTTACCTCCTCAACGACGGTAAATCTAACTCAATGTTATGCCAATTCAAAGATCTTTAATCTTTCATGTTGCTCATGAGTCTGACGTGCTTAATTAATGGGCAGGCCGGTTTCTGCATCTCAATCATCGGGAGCCGCTACCTCAGGGTACAGAAAAGACGAAAACAATTGGAGATATGACACTGAAGATATGCCGGAAGAAGTAATGAGAGCTTCAACAGCACTGGAAAATCTTCAGCTCGACAGGAAAACTCGGAACCTAACATCGTCTTGGAGGTAAGCTTCATGGCTCTTCTACTATTCTAAGCATCTTACAAGTTAGATAAAATCGAAGATTGAACTGAAAAACAAAGTTGTGATAATCTGATCCATTGGTTTTGGTTGTGGTTTAGGAATGTGAAGGATGGAACAAGTGAAGAAGAAGGGAAAGATTGATATGGATTTCGATAAAATCCAGGCTGTGAATTAGTAGTACGTTGATATACATATATGTGTGTGTGTGCGCTTCTTTGTTTATGTATGGTTTTAAATGTTGCAACTGGTTTCTTTAGCTTTTTGTTTGTTGTGTTTAATCTCGTAAAAGAAATTGTTTGAGAAAGCGATTGGAAGTAAGATTCTGGATGGATATAATTACAACCAAATGCTATTGTCCTCTAAGAAAATAAACATGTACCAATGTTAATCTGTGAAGATGGTATAGAACCAACTACAGTTAAGCCATTAATCTCAAAACTTTCATAGAAATTCTCAAATACTAGTGTCATATCTTACAAAAAAAACTAGTTTTAAATAAATTTAAAAATCCAAAAAATTATCATTTCCCAAATTTATTTATATATAATTTCATTTATTTTAATTCTTTAATTTTTTTTTCTTTGTCTTTCCTTATCTCTCTCTCTTTGTAGTGAGAACAAAAAAAAACAAAAACTAAAACAACTTAACAAGTAACCTTGTTTAGGTGTTTAGGGTTTTAAAGCATTTTTATTTGTTTTCCTCTTGAGAGTCAAAAACTACTCAAGTCCCTTTCCCGGCGTCGCCTCAATTCCCAGTCTCACTCTGTCTCCGGTAAGTCCTAACTAAACTTTCTCTCTTCACCCTCCGTTATTGTTGACCCTTTATGCTCTTTATCTTTGTCGCTTGAAAAGTTTTATCCTTTTTGTTAATTACTACTCTACTCTTGTTGTATTTGCTACTGTTGAAGCCATGGAATCTCGGATTTTGCACTCTTCTTCTTCTTCCTGCTGTTATTCGTCTCTTGGCACTGTCAATCGATACCGTTTCTCCTCTGTATCATCACTGAAACCGGTCTCCGTCAGCTTTACTCAGACGGCGAGAATAAGGACTAAGGTAGCTCGTGTTTTATCCATGTCGAAGAAAGATGATGCCACTGATAGTCTCACTTACAAAGACTCTGGTGTTGATATCGATGCTGGGACTGAGCTTGTTAAGAGAATCGCAAAGATGGCTCCTGGAATTGGTGGATTCGGTGGTCTCTTTCCATTGGGTATATATATAAGGAAAACTGCAAAATTTTCACCTGAATGTTGAAACTTTTCATTCTTCTGATGAATGAGTGTATGTGGCTTTGGTTGAGCAGGTGATGATTATCTCGTAGCTGGTACCGATGGTGTAGGGACTAAATTGAAATTGGCATTTGAAACTGGAATTCATGACACCATTGGAATCGACTTGGTATAGCAATTGTCTTTGTGACTTTATTTATGCTAGCCCCTAAACTCATGGTTTAGCTTATTGTTATAGGTTGCTATGAGTGTGAATGATATTATTACCTCTGGTGCAAAGCCTCTGTTTTTCCTTGATTACTTTGCTACTAGTCGTCTTGATGTAGACCTTGCAGAAAAGGTACCACTGCTTCATCTCTTTCCCCTTTTGAATTTGAGCTTGCTGTAGGACTTGATATTGATGTATGCTTTGTTTCCAGGTCATTAAAGGGATTGTTGAAGGTTGTCGGCAGTCGGAATGTGCTCTCTTAGGGGGAGAGGTATGTGTTACTGTTTAACTCAGTTCCAGGTTCTGGCAATGTAGTTTATGCATCTTTCCATGCTTTTGTTTCAATCGGTTTTTGTTTTTGTTGTTTTAGACTGCAGAGATGCCTGGCTTTTACGCAGAGGGCGAGTACGATCTCAGTGGGTTTGCAGTAGGGATAGTAAAGAAAAATGCTGTTATCAACGGAAAAAACATTGTTGCTGGCGATGTTCTTATTGGCCTCCCTTCTAGCGGTGTTCATTCCAATGGTTTCTCTTTAGTAAGAAGGTAAAAATTAGCGATAGTCGAGGTTTTAAACTTCTGATTTCATGGCACTTATGCACATTCCAATTGTTGCAGGGTATTGGCTCGAAGCAATCTTTCGCTGAATGATGCGCTGCCAGGTGGATTAACTACTCTTGGTGAAGCTTTAATGGCACCCACTGTCATTTATGTGAAACAGGTCGGTTTTCTTGTCAACAAGAATTCCATCATCACATTTGTAACAACTCTATGACTTTCTCTCTCTCTGCTATTCGCACTTTCGCAGGTACTTGACATAATCAGTAGAGGAGGAGTGAAGGGGATAGCTCATATAACAGGCGGAGGTTTCACAGACAACATTCCCCGAGTCTTCCCGGATGGTTTGGGTGCTGTTATTCACACCGATGCTTGGGAACTTCCACCGTTGTTCAAGTGGATCCAACAGGTAATGAATGAGAGAATCATTGAGATCCTGAACAGACGATGATGTTTATACTTAAGAATGTTTGATTGTTTTCTGGTGTATTATATAGTCTGGGAGAATAGAAGACATGGAGATGAGAAGGACGTTTAACCTGGGGATAGGGATGGTTATGGTGGTTAGTCCAGAGGCGGCTTCACGAATACTACAAGAAGCCAAGAATGGAGACTATGTTGCGTATCGCGTAGGAGAGGTTATCAACGGTGAAGGCGTAAGCTATCAGTAGAGTGTTGTGTGTACTTTTTTCTTCTGTGCCTTTTAAGTTTTGGTTTCCCACCGTTTTAAGAAATCCATTTTTATGAAGTAATTGTCTACGGTTTTATGAGGTTACAAACCATGAGATGAGGCATTTTTGAAAACGTCATGTATTATTGTGTTCTAATTTTATTAAATATAACCAATGTTATTGGTATAAGTTTAAGCTCATTGTCGCACAAAAAGATGTATATTATCATTATAATTATATAAAATTCTAAACATGTAGTTGCCTAGTTGGTGGTATGATTTAAGGCTAATTGTCGCATAACAAAAAAATGTTGTAGGAAGAATTCTTCATTAAATTCATATATTATAAAACTGGGGGTATCCAAGAGAATCGAATACTTGCTAGTTTACTGAACTATATACACCATTCATGTCTTGTATGTATCCCACCTCCTTAAAATGAATATATTTATAACATACCACAAACAACAAATGAATGTATTTAAAACTTATGTCCAAAACTTCAATCCGGAATTATGAAAAAGGGTGACTGAGAACTGATAAGCTATTGCCACTACACGTAGGACGATTTAGCTACTACGATTTGATTTGAAGATGGAAGTGGAAAAGAGAGCTTTCAAGCTTGATATACCTAGGAAATGTCTTGGACCTTACCGTCTGTTGGTTCAGAGTTAGTCTCTTTTCCCTCTGTTGATGATGGCTTCTCGTCATTAACATGCTCCGTAGTTTTTTCAGGTGTTGTGTTCTGCAAATTGCCCGTCAGTTCGTATATGATTATACGTAAGTAGGAGAAACTATTTGGTTTTAAAGACAATTTTTGAGGTGTTTCTTGGGTGAAGCCGCCTCTAAATATGTTGTGTAAGAAGAAGACTTACCTTGTTCTTGTCGCGCCACCCTAGTCCAAATGGCCGTGCTAGCAAACTGATCCTGCTTGGAGGAGGTTCTGGTATATGATCATTGATGTTTTTGACTGACGAATCTTGGTTAACTTGCCTGTATGGGTAAAAAGTATGAATATATACCCAATTTAGAATACACACGCGTGGGTCATTAGTCATAACCCATCGAGTGTTTATGTTTTGAGTAGTCTCAGGTAAGAAGAACACACCGTGGTGAAGGTTGTGGTGAAGGTTGTGCTTTGAGTTGCCCAGATTGATACTGCAAAGTCGCCTCGAGCATGGACTCTGCCATCACTGCTCTCTTTTCCATTTCAGCCAGTGCAGCAACAGCTTCCTCGTATTTTTCCTAGACCAGTTGTCATATTCGTTACAGAAAAGATCTAAGATAAAACAGGAGGATACAAAAAGGAAGAGGATATAAAGTAGCATTCGAAACACGCAGCTCTGAAAACATACAGACAAGAAATAATAGAGGATATAAAGAGATTATTTTTCCTAAACTAATGTGTAACTCTACTCCATGGAAGGCGAGTAACGACCGATAACTAGAGACAGTTAAAGGTCTTTAAAACTGAATAGCCTAGCCACATTTGTGTTGGTAGGAGTCAGTGCAAACATATTTACCTGCAAGACTTGAGCAGCATATCTCTGCGCTTCTGCATCCTGCTCAGCAAATCTTCGTGCATCTTCTGTTACCTTCTGTTCTTGCTCCACCCGCATCAAGACCTTCATACATATCAATTAATCTCAGAATCTTTCTCAGCCATAAACGAAGAAATAAAACAGATTGATCATGCAAATGCAAACCTGTAGCATTGCACCTTCTTGTTCCTGCTTATCAGAGAGGAGTCTCTGAACTTCTGCCATCTCTTGCTCTAACTGTTCGACCTGAAGTTCACATTCATGACAAGTAGCATTTCACATCTCAAAACTAACTTAGCACCAATGAGCCTTCAAATTGGATCAGCACAGAGATGTGTGACGAGGAACCAGCAGGAGAAGAAAAGAGAGAAAGGAAAGTAATGATAATAAAAGTGACAGAAAAAATAGTCTTCATATTCAGAACATGGATAAAGAGACAAGTAACATAATGCGAGCTTATATGCTTAATTGGAAAATTAACTGTCAAGTGGCAAGCTTTATTGGAATACCTTGGCACTCAATTGACGCCGATTGTCTTCCTTTACTATCTCCATGAGAGCAATCTCCAACTCTTCAGCTCTACCACAAAATCAGAAGTTTGGGAGACATTCCATATTGAGGAACAATAAGGAGAGATATAAAACTTCTACCATCTAGTGTCAGTTATTTGTTGAGAAAAGAAACTAACCTAAGTAGAGCTGATCGTTTCTCCTCAAGCAACTTGCAGAGTTCAGCCTTCAACCACAGAACCTGAAAAGGTTGTCAGTCAACTTTCAGAAGGGGTTTGTAGGTATCAAGTAATTTTTCAACCGTTTCACCAAACATAATCATCCAACATTCAAGTGTACTAAGGACTTGGGGGAGAATCTCCACGCCAACAGGAAGGACAAAAAATTACCTGCGCTTGAAGATCTTGAACAGAATCTACCTCCCCATCCCCAGTTAGGCTAACCAATACTTCATCAGCATTACTTGATCCTGACTCAGATCGAGACAAACTCCCATTTGACAATGAGACTTTTCCATCCACCAGAACAGATTTTGGGTCTTGCTTAAAATTATATAATTTGGAGGCAAGGCCCTTAGAATCCCTCCAAGCTTGAAGCCCCTTTGATCTTTCTTCAAGTGCAGCTATCACAGCTGGCCTATGCTTGCTTCGCAATTC